GTAAACACACACGTCGATCGTCCTGTATACTTATACTCGGAATTGTAAACAAAACTACAACTATATGCTAGCCAAACTCAACTACCTCCAGTATAATATAATTGAAAAAGATTACACACAGGTGATGTCCTGTATATTATACTGGATTGAAACAACTCAACTATATGCTATCCCAAACTCAACTCCTCCAGTATAATATAATGGAAAAAAAGATTACACACAGGTGATGTCCTATATATTATACTGGATTGAAACAAAACAAAATAATATATGCTAGAACAAAGTGATAAAATTATCAGTAACAAAACAAAATAATGAACACAAAAAATAATTATTTAAACCCTAGCGGTACGGTAAATCAAACTTAAACATAACGAAACAACAATAAGAACGTGAATCAAACACATTATTGTAAAAACAAAACTCACCCAGAGAATTTTGAAGAAAATTAGAGCTAAATCGATCAAGGATTCGAAAAAAAGTGCTCTGACGAAAGCCGCACGCGCTGCTGTGCAAACAAAGAGTAAAAAGTTACTAAAGAGTATGTTAAAGCGTGCAAGGGCAATAATGTCATTTTACATTCTATTTTAAGTTAAAATGGCTAGAAATCAATGACATCACGGACGGTGGCTATTTTTCGATAGCCACCCGTAAAAGTGGCTATGCCACGCTATTTTGACGACTTACTGTCTAAGAGGCATCTTGGATGGCCACGCCCATCCGACCCTTTTTAATGATCGCAATAGCTTTTTAAAGGCTAAAAAGTCTAACAAAAATATTTAAAAAAACAACAACGTATATTAGAATATTTTTCTTACAAAAACTGAAAAACATTTATGCCTTTTCCCATAAATTATCAACCTAACTACTGCGAAAACTTGATCCAAGTAGTAGGAAAAAAAGAAGAAGAATAAGAGTCACAATAATCGAATTACTCCCACACATCTGAAGCTGCAACATACGTAAAAAATTAATACTTAGAGTTACAACCAGACTTAAAGATGAATCAGAAACAAAGAACCGTTTGGTGTCTTTGCAGCTTCTTGTATTTCAATTCGGCTGAATACATATACAGCCCCTTAAACTTGTCCTTTTTTTCATATAGAGTTGAATACCTCAACTATATATAAAGTATGTCAATTAAACACATATTCTTCATTTCTAAACAAAGTTTAGTGCATGAGTGTCACTTGCTGTGACATACCGAATGTTACCAATAAGAAAAAGCCACGTCAAAAAAAAAAGTCAAAATATGAAAGGAGAAAAAATCAAAAACCTTCACCGGAAAAAGAAAAACACTGGCGAAAAATGAAACTCGACGAGCCTGAATGGCGTTTTCCTGATTACCAAATTTGCAAAATTGGTGAATGATGTTTTTTTCGTTACCAAACTGCAAAAGAAACACTAACGGCCTGGAAAAAAAAAAAAGGAACACTGATACAAGATTGAAATTGCAGAGAAGAAAACTAAAGCTAAAGCTAAGAGAAGAAGGAAAACAAATGCAAATAAGATAAAGGTTTTTCATTCATAACCTTCAAAAGCCATTACAGTGTTCTATATAAAGAAAATGGAAGGAGGGACGAGTTTGAACAAAAGTATACTAAAGGGGACTAACGTGTGTTTGACTCAAAAGATACTAATTACTTTGTAAGCGAAAACAATCAAAATGAATCAAAGGGTAAATCATACCCAATCATAATTAATCATTGAATTAGAAGACCAACTTGAAACATAGAAATAATCAATTATGGAACAATATAAATGGGGTTTTATTCATCAAGGTGACTTGACCTGCCTCTCCTTGAAGAGGTTCAGGATCTTACATTGATCTTGTTTCTTGCTCCACTTATGGAGTATATCTTTCTATTTCTGGAGTATTTAGAGTTGTGTCCCAGAAGAAGCCCCCCTTGGGAGGTTCTCTCTCTTGGTATTTATAGCCTCAGGCTTTTTCATCTTGTCACGAATGGGCCCCTCCTTTTGTTGTGGAGACGTCCCCTCGTTTGTTTTAAGGACAACTGTCATAAGTTAAGAGTCAGCGGCGTTGACCGTTTACTACAAAGTGGTCGTGATGGGGTTGACCCCCTGGTCGCAAAATGGCCGAATATCTGCCAATACAGTTAGTCCCTCCGTTCGTCGAGGTCGTGCTCGAGTCGACTTCGGCGGACGGATAGAGCGGCATGATCGGGGAGGGTCCTTAAAAATGAATTTTTGGAATTGAACCGTTGGTTGGCGAGTGGAGCATCATCCCGCGCAGTCGCTCGTAATGGCGCACGTTTTCATGAAACCGAATCGCTTCGTGCACGGTTATGTGTTAATGGCGATCGTTGGGTCCCGTGCAGGTAGAGTTCGTTATTTATAACTAGAGAAGATGTGTCATTTTGTTCTTTACATGTTCATTGTTCTTCTAAGAGAAATCTCGAGAAGCCTTTTCTTCTGTCAAGTCGCATTTTCGCTATTCTTCCGATCATTATCATCATTGATTTCTCCGTCTCCCTTGTCAAAATTCTTCTTTCTTTCGCTCGTGAATCGATTATGGCAGGCACTTCTTCTCGCGGCAATCGCTCGGCTAATTCTCAGGGGGTCGAAAATCCCGCTCCGGCAGACGAAAGGTTAGAGTTGGTGGGAGGTGAGGAAATTCCTTCGGTCGATGAAATTCTACCTCACCCAAGAGATCAAGTGATGGATTTCAGTGCACCGGACAGCGTGGAACAGGGGGACATTGCTTCTTTAATGGGGGAAGTGAGGATAGCTCAAATGCGGGAGCGATGGCGTATCCCACATTATGCCGAGATCGCTCTTGCGAAGACCAAGGACAGGGTACAGATTGACCGTCGAGGGTATTGCTCGTTCTATGCTTATCCCTTCCAGGTGGGGTGTACACTCTCGCTCCCGATGCTGATAGTAGACTTCTGTCGCTCTTACGAGGTATGCCCGGCCCAAATTTCTCCTTGTCTCTACAAATTGCTCCTCATGTTCATCAAATATGCGGAGCTAGCGGGTAGGGAGGTCACTCTGAGGCCGGGTGCACTTGCTAGGCTAGCTGCTGCGCCTGTGCCTCGTCGAGTACCGAGGGCGGCGTCGGTTGAATCGTCAGTGACCGCGTCCCCACCGCGGGCTATGCCACAAGATGAGAGGCCGTCCGGGCTTGTTCGTTCTCGGACGGGCTCGTCTTCGAATGAGGAGGAGGATAGGCCTTCGCAGAAACGATGAGTGGCATTTGTGGCGGCTCCTCCATCGGTGATCAACTTGGATTCTCCCCCGATGGATTCGGAGGGCGGCACGGCTGTGGCGCTTGCTGGCGAGGAGAAGGAGTTAGTCAAAGTTGAACCTGTTAGTTCTAGCCAAGGGAATGTTGCTGTCTCGACGACCCTGTCCGATGTTCCTGTTGCCGAGGCGGAGGGTCGATCCTTACAGGCTGCCGTAGGGACCTCTGATGTACCAGTGTTGGCCACGGCGAGTTGCTCTACCCCAACGGAGGCGGAGAGGGGGAAGGACGTGGTGGAGGACGAGTATGAATCTGAGTCCGATTTGGACCCTGACGATGTTGCATGTTCGAGGAGGGTATTACCAATTCTACGGTGCGCGCAGGGGGGCCGGCCCGTTTTATTGATGTTCCCTCGGATTTGAACTTACTAACTGAAGGAACTAGCTTGGTGTCGCAGTTTGAGTTGTTGTGTTCGGAAGCCGAGAACACGTCTTTGAGGAGTGTTTCAGATATTGAAGTGATGGATGAAGTGGCCGTGATGGGCCTGAGGGTACGTAGTACGCTCCTAGTTCCTTTTCTCCTTTCATTGTTTTCTATTTTTTTGTTTTAGCTCTGCCTCAACTTTTCCTTACCTTTGTTTTGCAGACTTACTTGTTGGAGGTGGAGAACATACGCAGAGCCAAGGTTCGCTCGAGGATCTTCCTGCAGATGCTGGGGAAATATCGCCGTTATCGTGAACGGTGCCGAAGGCTGCACGAGCATTTACGGAACGATCCCTGTAATCGGGCTTTGGGCGAGGAGTTGGTGAGGCGGGACCAGCAGTTGTTGCAGGCGCTTGGCAGTAAAAGTGCTCTTGAAGAGCAGATCCGTCGGAAAGACGAGGAGCTTGAGGTGGGAAAGGGAATCGCAGCTGAGTGTGCGCACCTGCAGGGTAAGTTGAGGGAGATGGAATTGGAGGCGGAACAGAACCGGGTCAAAGCAGCGGAGGCGGCTGCGGAATGGAGTGGGAAACTGGCAGCGTTGGAAGGCGAGGTTGCTGCCTTGAAATTTTTGGAAAGGGGTGCCTCGTCGAGGGCTGGGGCGTTGGAGGCGGCGATCCGCGTGCATGAGTCTCGGCTTGAGTCGGAGAGGGAGACAGCGACCCTTAAAGAGGCAAGGCTCGAGGAGTGGATTGCTGTTCTTGAGCAGGAGGCCCAAGTTATGTTGGACCGTATTGCGGCCTTAGAGGAGGAGAACCGACGATTGCAGAGCCAAGCTGGTTCGTCGCATACTGCCGTTTCCCACCAGGCTCACGAACTTTGGGTTTACGCCGAAGCTCAACGCGATGTTTACAAGAACTTATTGGAGGCGGGTATTGTGACCGAGACCGTCTTCGAGGTGGCACGCCAGAAGGCTCGTGAAGCTCGTGCCGACTGTGGTTATGATGTGGCGACGCCCGAGGCTGACAATGGCGCGAGTGGCGGTGACGGTGACGGCGGTGGTAGCGCCGAGTGAAGAAAAGATTTATCGTTGCTTGTTGTTTTTCTTTATACCCCGTTCGTCGGTCGGTGCTCGGTTATTTATTTGGTGTTTTTTCTGTATTTTTCTTTCTTGTCTCGACCGGCCAGGGCCGGATGTAAGCGGGGAGTACCCGCGTTCCTAACTCTGTAGACAATTGTACTCTTTTTTCCATCGTTTGTCTCGCGTTTTACTCTGTCTTCCGTTTTTCTCTTTTTCTTTTATGGATATGTTTGGAGGGACGATCAGCCCTTGAATTCGACCGAGGTCGTCATGTCAGTTTTGGATTGATAATGACGGCTTTTTGGCCTGACATGAACGGGGAGGAGCGATCACCTTGTAATGACGGCAATTGGTTTTTCTTCGCCCCAGCCCTAGTGCGGCTGAGGTTGACCCTAATAAATTTGAAAGCGAAGGCACTTGGCCTGAGCCCTAGTTTGGCTAAGGTCGAACCCGATATATTTTGATGGCGAAGGTGCTTAGCCTGAGCCCCGGTTCGACTGAGGTCGAACCTGATATATATTTTGATGGCGAAGGCACTTAGCCAGAGTCCCGGTTCGACTGAGGTGGAACCTGATATGTTTTGATGGCGAAGGCACTTGGCCTGAGTCCCGGTTCGACTGAGGTCGAACCTGATATATTTTGATGGCGAAGGCACTTGGCCTGAGTCCCGGTTCGACTGAGGTCGAACTGATATATTTTGATGGCGAAGGCACGTGGCCTGAGTCCCGGTTCGACTGAGGTCGAACCTGATATATTTTGATGGCGAAGGCACGTGGCCTGAGTCCCGATTCGACTGAGGTCGAACTTGATATATTTTGATGGCGAAGGCACGTGGCCTGAGTCCCGGTTCGACTGAGGTCGAACCTGATATATTTTGATGGCGAAGGCACGTGGCCTGAGTCCCGGTTCGACTGAGGTCGAACCTGATATATTTTGATGGCGAAGGCACGTGGCCTGAGTCCCGATTCGACTGAGGTCGAACCTGATATATTTTGATGGCGAAGGCACTTGGCCTGAGTCCTGGTTCGACTGACGTCGAAGCTGACATATTTTGATGGCGAAGGCACTTAGCCTGAATCCCGGTTCGACTGAGGTCGAACCTGATATATTTTGATGGCTAAGGTACTTGGCCTGAGTCCCTGTTCGACTGACGTCGAACCTGATATATTCTGATGGCGAAGGGACTGGGCCTGAGTCCCGGTTCGACTGAGGTCGAACCTGATATATTCTGATGGCTAAGGCACGTGGCCTGAGTCCCGATTCAACTGAGGTCGAACCTGATATATATTGATGGCGAAGGCACTTGGCCTGAGTCCCGGATCGACTAAGGTCGAACCTGATATATTCTGATAGCGAAGGCACGTGGCCCGGTTCGACTGAGGTCGAACCTGATATATTTTGATGGCGAAGGCACGTGGCCTGAGTCCCGGTTCGACTGAGGTCGAACCTGATATATTTTGATGGCGAAGGCACGTGGCCTGAGTCCCGGTTCGACTGAGGTCGAACCTGATATATTTTGATGGCGAAGGCACTTGGCCTGAGTCCCGCTCCTGGCTTGAGACAGCCCTGTGCCGGTTTCCGACCTGACACCGCATTAGGGGTGAAGGAAATGCCTCATACTTTTGTTCTGAGGGAGAGGGGCTTCTTCCTCTTGTTTGGTTGTTTTCGGATCTCAGTTTCCTTTGATGCATTCAAGTATTACGTGCTCGATGTGCTTCCTCTGGTCTGTCTGAGTTGGATTGCTTTCTTCTCTTCTTTTTTTGACGTTCCTTTGGCTTCGATTCCAGGGAGAAACTATGTGATTTCGCTAGGAAATCCCCACAGACGGCGTCAAATTGTTTGACTCAAAAGATACTAATTACTTTGTAAGCGAAAACAATCAAAATGAATCAAAGGGTAAATCATAGCCAATCATAATTAATCACTGAATTAGAATACCAACTTGAAATATAGAAATAATCAATTATGGAACAATATAGATGGGGTTTTATTCATCAAGGTGACTTGACCTGCTTCTCCTTGAAGAGGTTCAGGATCTTACATTGATCTTGTTTTTTGCTCCACTTATGGAGTATATCTTTCTATTTCTGGAGTATTCGGGGTTGTGTCCCAGAAGAAGCCCCCCTTGGGAGGTTCTCTCTCTTGGTATTTATAGCCTCAGGCTTTTTCATCTTGTCACGAATGGGCCCCTCCTTTTGTTGTGGAGACGTCCCCTCGTTTGTTTTAAGGACAACTGTCATAAGTTAAGAGTCAGCGGCGTTGACCGTTTACTACAAAGTGGTCGTGATGGGGTTGACCCCCTGGTCGCAAAATGGCCGAATATCTGCCAATACAATATTCCCGATTATTTTTAACAACACCCAATCCAAACAAATAATGATTTTTGAAAACCCAAATTTGAATTCAAAGCTTTCAAGCTTTTTAATGGCTGTCAATGGTGGAAAATATCTGGAAGAATATTTACTTCCATAATTGTAGCGCGCCTAAATAGGAATATCTGGAAGAATATTTAGTTCCAGATTTGTAGCGCGCCTAATTAGGAAGGAATCAGCTCCTAATAATTGGTATTTAATGAATGGTATATATTTTGTAGAATAAATGTGAACATGGCGGGTAAATATGAAACTATGCACATTTTTGGTAATAAGGTTTCATATATGGTATAGGAAGGAAAAAGTCTCTAAGAAAAATAACATCATGAAAATGAGAAAGTAGATGCAAAACAAAAGCCATAGATAGCATAGAACCGGCACTATGGAAAACGAAAGAGTAGTAAGAAGCAACATTATCAATAACGGACTTCGATAAAAATCCTATCAAACTAGCCTAACAAAGGTAAGAAGTAAGTAAACACTCAACTACCCCGAACAAAAATAATTTATTGTTTGTAATGGTACTTTTCTTTTCCTTAATTTAAAATAATACTTAGTACACTGATATACCACACGAGAAATAATTAAGAAGGCTGAAGCCGCTCACTATTCGGCGACATAAGCAACGCTGACCGCCATTTTTCCTTCCATCATCCGCCAATCCAACATTATCCCATAACAGTACATACTTTGAATGCCAACGAGTTTCAACAAAAATTCTTCTTATCTTAACTTTACTTTAGAATGCCAGGACTTTATACCTTGTTTAAACATTTAGAAGAAAGTCAAACTCTTATCGAAAACCCAGATACAATTCTGTTCACTGGTGGCTTATTTCTTGACCCATTAATTCCTTCTTCAATTACCACCTCCACCACAAATTTTCTAAATGGCTCTTCAATTGATGATTCTAATGAGTTACATTCTCCCATTCGTCGTCGTAGACCAATTTTCAGGCGAGAAAAGAGTGTTGGTGCCGGTTTTGGGGGTAAATTCTTGTGTTTGAGCTTATCAGTCAAGAAGAATACTGGCGTTGTCGGAAATTCCAGTGAATGCTTGTTGAGTAATAATGGAGACGAGAGTTCCAAGGTGGAGGAGCCTAGTGACGGTTCTGGAGGCGGGAGGAAGCGAAGTATTGGGTTACCGGGACGTCGTGGTGCAGTGAATACCACTAAACATTTGTGGGCTGGAGCAGTTGCTGCCATGGTATCAAGGTTCGTGCTTTTCTCCTATCGAAGTGTTATAAATTTCAATTATGACATTTTGAACTAAATCGGAGTTATTGCATAGCTGACTTTTTTATTGCACTTGATCTCCTATGCAATACTTAAAACTGTGGTAGGGAATTTGCCCATACTGCCTTTGAGGTAAAATCTGCTTGACTCCCTAACTACTCACATACATATCTTTACTTGCACTTAAATGTTGGAAAGCTAGGAAACAAGGAATGTGCCATTAATTTTTCAATATATGATAGGGAAAAGCTGTGAATATGGATGAATATGTGGGATAAAAGGGATGCTCTCTTTTTACAGAAAAACAATAATGCAGAGGGGCCTGAAATTTTAATATAGGATATGGACAAACTTAAATATGGAGAAAAATGCCGTCAAAAGGAGATGGTTTCAGTAAATGGTTGTTAACATGATAAGTGCTGGGAAACACACGAGTCTTGTTTTATTTATCACTATGTTGCCGTTATAAATGGAAGTGTCATCAGTGTAGTAGCTATGCTTGTGTTGTTGTTTTAAGGTCAAAACTGTTGAGATGAAGCATTAATATTTAATGTGATGTTTGGTCTTACTCATACCTCGTTTTCTTTTTTTGGATATGTAAGCCCCACCGCTGAAACCCCCCATCCAGGAGCAAACAACAGCCCTTCCCCTATTTTGCTCCCTTGGTGACTCTAAACTCTTAGATCCTTTTTACTAGGCTAGCCCTCCCTTGTCTTGGGTTTACTTTCACAATCAAAGGCCTATTTCCGTTAAGTTATAAATCCATGTTTTAAGCCATGCTCGATAATCCATTTTGCTCAAACTTTTAACCTTTGTCTCATTTTTCAGTTACTGTCCACTTACATGGATGTCGTGGTTTTTGTTTGGATCTTGTTACATTACTGTCCATCTTCCTAAAATAAAAGCATCATGTTCTTCTTAGGCACACTTTCTTCGCTTCATTCCAATGTAGAGATGAATCAGAAGTAAGCTTTTACCCAAAAAGTTAGGCCTGTTACTCATAAAGTAATCCATGTTTCTATAATGTTGTTTATATTTTCCTTTTTTTTCCGCCAGATGGCAGGAGAGGGGGTTTAAATCTTTCGTTAAAGTCAAGCAAGACATTCACATTGAGAAGAGGGACATCACATTTTGACCTATAACAATAATGATCTGAATGCTTTCAGAAAAAATCCTTTTCTTTGGATTGAGCCTCTGGATATTCCTTACACTCAAAGTTTTTAACTTCATTCTTAATCATACGGTTTTAAATACAAAGAAGTTAATTTTTGTATTCCTAGAGTTAAAGATATTTCTTTTTCTTTTCCCCTCCTTTTGGTAAGTATAAGTTTCATGCTTCCAAATTGCCTCAATCATGTTATGCAGTTTTCTGAAATTTGAACCAACATGAAACTTCGGAAATGGTCCTTATTCTGAAACTATTCAGAGCTTATATTGAGGAGAGGGAGCGATTGTACCTGGTCAATCAACCCCTTTATTATTTTTGAGTCTTTGTGCACTTCCATTTCCTTATTCTCGTTTTCTATCCATTTTCTCTCTGGCATTGTGATGGTCAGAGTCGACAACTTATTGAATGAACTAACATCATAGCCCTGTTAACTTCTTTATGTTTATTTGATTACTTGACATTTGTTAAAATAGTAAAATTGGTAACAGATAGTCTAGTTTATATCCTTCTAAATACCTTCGATTTTTTTAGGTTTGAGATTAAGGCATTAAGCATGCTTTTGAAGTTACTTCTAAAGTAGTTAACTCCAAATCGATGTTGAAATCAGTTTCTTCGTACAACTATCTTTTGCTTCAACTCTGTATGAATAAATCTTGTTTTAGCAGAACTGTTGTTGCTCCACTTGAAAGACTAAAGCTGGAATACATAGTTCGCGGTGAACAGAAGCACTTAGTGGAGCTCATCAAAACGATTGCAGCTACTCAAGGCTTGGGAGGCTTTTGGAAAGGGAACTTGGTCAATGTCCTTCGTACTGCTCCTTTTAAGGCAGTTAATTTTTGTGCTTTCGACACATACAGAAAGCAACTCCTAAGATTATCAGGAAATGAAGAAACTACTAACGTCGAGAGGTTTGTTGCTGGTGCCGCAGCTGGAGTGACTGCTACTGTGATGTGCTTACCACTGGACACCGTAAGTTATGGGATATGGAAAATTGCATTTTTGTCCCTTTGATATTTATAATCTTCAATTAGGCCCATCTTTTTTGCGTATAAGCACATAAAACTGTCAGTGCATCAGTTTTAGCATTTTGATCGTCTAGCAGTCGGCAGAATTGTCAACTTTAAGAACCTTTTTTTCTCTAGTTCCATTTTATATAGAATTGTTTCTTTCTTTAACATTGTTATTCCAAAAATAGCAAGAGCAAAGGAAAATAAGAAATTTCTTTTCTCGTCTCCATAAACCTTCTTTTATGTTGCGTACAGTTTCCATTCCTTATATACAATTTCTGACTCTCAGCCTCTAGCAATCCAAAAGGGCAGGCCGCAAACACAAAATTATATCCAAAAAGAGGCCTAAAATTATCATGTGGAGTTGAAAAAGGAGGTATTTTTCCGTATAATCTTATGGTTTAAGTTCTGCAAAACATTAGCTGCTTGTCAGTTCGATCTGCATCATTCATTCATTATAGATTTCTGCCAGTAGAAAGGAGACATCTTTTTGTTAGGGACTTTGATTTTCATAGGAAATTCAGCAACCAATAAAAAAAGATTCTTTATTGAAACAATTAGTTCTGGAATTGAAGGAAAGCAAATTGATATTTTGGATACATTATCTTCAAGTGCAATAATTCTGCGCCCATCCCATTTTTCATCCAACTATCCTATTTCTCGTATATTTCACAGTTGCTTAAGGGAAACACGTTAAAATTCGGTAGTTACTCTTTCTGATTCATCTGCTGATGAGTTCTAACTTATCAAGCAGTTTTGCCTCTAAACCTTTTTTGTTTCCTTAGCATTTCTTGGTGAGTTGTGGAAGGAGATAGCGGGTGTGACACAGGGAAAGCAATGCCAATTAGTGGCAGAAAGGACTGGGAAGGTGGGGCAGTGCTTGTGAGAAGCCTTGGGCTGTGGACCAAGAGGGTGGTTAAGGAAGAAATAATTGCTATTGATAAATAGACTCTTGTCAACTTCCCAAAGTTTAAAGCTTCCATCATCCTCGAGCAAACTAACTCCCGAGTAGAATAAACACTATTAAGCACATCACAGGGAATCATGACTAGAAGACCCTTAAGCACATTCCTTTTTGTTTTTGCTATTTTATTGTTATTGATATTAGGACTGCGCATAATATGGTAAATACCAAATTACCATACCGAAACTGAAAATTTTGGTATTTGGTATTTCGTTATTTGGTTTAAGTTTTTAAAAAGTTTGGTATTAGGTTTGGTATTTCGGTATTTACCGAAATATATACTAAGTTACACACACGTATTATTGATTGTAACATACTAAGTTACATGTTGAGGTTGACGGTCCTTGTTGTATTCTCTAAGTTCAGCAATTAACTCTAAGCAAGTAACAAAATATTTTCAATGATCAAATTTATTCGTTATGTACCTTTTTTCTCTGTGTATTTTGATACTTGCTGGTTTTGGACAAAGATTTTGTCAACAGTGAGCTTGGCACGTTTTTATTTTTGTATTTGTGAGTACTTTAATTAATGAGAATATTACAGACTACAGTCTATGGCTCTCTATGTATTAGTTAATATTCAAGACGAACAACTGAAGTTACCGGAACGAATAAACCGAATACGAAAGGAGAAAAGCCGGACCATACCAAATCTAGTCCGATATTGGTATAGTATTTTAAGAAACAGAATACCAAAAATACCGAAACAAAAATGTCTAAATACCATACCGTACCGATCGAAGAACACCCCTAATTGATATAAATAAGATACCGAAAGATAGGAAAAACTATTGAAATAAAAAACAAAATAAAACTAAGAACTATAGAATTTTAACTTTCATTTAGGATTAGAAAATACTGTTGAGGCCTTAATGTTTTTTCCTAAATCAAATAATAGAAGGGCCCCAACTGAAGTTGGCATATAGGCAGGGGCAAAAGAGCGAATTCCCCTGTATAAAAATTTAGTATAATAGCTACTGATCAAGAAAAAAGAAGAGAAATTTAGTACATCAGCTTTGTCTGAGAGAAAAACAAAGAAAGGGATGAAAAGATAAGAATAAATCTTCGCTCCATCAGTGAACCAGCAAAACAAAATGGGTACTGGACATTGTCTGTTATTGTTAATACGGGCCAAACTAATTTCTCCCTTATCTTTCAGGTCTGATACATGCTTATAATAAAAGATAATGCATGTTTGATTTGTGCATGGAATGATGTTCTGTCATTTATTAGCATCAAAGGCCTGGTGTTATTACTAGTTTTTATTTCTCTGATTTGAAAATGGAAGCAACTATGCTGAAAGAGTTTGCATTTCATTCTTCCTTTAGGAATGTGTAACATTTTTTTTTTTTAAAATATAAATGCATAACGTGTTCACACCAACTGATTTCCTTATTAGATTGATTATCCTCCTAATGATTGGGGAAGTTTGATTTCCCTCTGGCTTCTTCTTTGTAATTTCCACTGTTGCCTGATAATTTAAAGCCTTTCAGATCCGGACCAAGTTAGTGGCGCGGGGTGGAGAAGCCTTGGGCGGTGTAGGCGGAGCTTTCCAACACCTGATCAGAACTGAAGGATTCTTCTCTCTTTATAAGGGCCTTGTACCCTCCATCTTGAGTATGGCCCCAGCTGCAGCTGTCTTCTATAGTGTATACGACATATTAAAATCAGCTTATTTGCATTCACCTGAAGGAAGAAAAAGAATTCAGTATATGAAGCAACAGGGAACAGAGCTCAATGCTTTGGACCAGCTTGAGTTGGGACCTATGAGGACCTTGCTCCATGGTGCTATCGCTGGTGCGTGTGCTGAAGCTGCAACCTACCCATTTGAGGTCATTAGAAGGCAACTTCAATTACAAGGCCGAGCATCTAAACTGAGTGCCTTGGCAACTTGTGCAAAGATTGTTGAACATGGGGGTGTTCCAGCTCTATATGCAGGGTTAGTCCCTAGTTTACTACAGGTACCAGTACCGTTGTGGCCATGCATTATGTTTAAGATACTATTGTCATCAGTAAATGAGTCATTTCAATCTCAGAAACTGAATACCACTCTTCTTCCCATCGTTGTGCTCCTCAATACACATATGGAAGTAGCAATTTTTCATTAGGTTAAGATAGTCAGTTGGTTAACTAGAACAAGTATTATCAGCTCTATTTTGCTGTCTTAAGGGTTAAAACCTCCTCTCCTTGTCCTGATGTAAAAACTATCTAGGAAAATGGATAGCAAGAGGGGGGGGGGGGTACTAGGGATCGTTTGGTTGGGAAGCAAGTTATCCCATGATTAATTATCCCGGGATTAGTTATCCCACCCTTCCATGGGGATAAAAAAACACTACAATCCTGGGATAACTAATCGCGGGATTAGTTATACCACGATTTTATTCCAACTAAACTCATCTCATATTTAATCCCGGGATTAATTATCCCTTATCCTTCGTACCAAACGAGCCCTAAGAGAGCAAGATTCTGAGTTGTGGCCTCTCTATTTTCTGCCTTTTATCTTCCTTTTCACCCTCTCCTTCGTTTTATTGGATTGCCCCTATGGCTGACTTTTTCTTTAAATAGCAGAAACAGTACATCCAGATCTAGAGAAATTATCATATTTCAGTTCAATTGATTTGCATATTCTGTGATTATAATATTCCAAATTCAACCATATCTTTGAGGGATTGAGTTCATTTTCTTCTTTTCAAATCTCGTTACTATCAAGACTTCCCATTCTCACTATCATGTTCTGAATCTTCAGGTGTTACCTTCAGCATCCATAAGCTACTTTGTCTACGAGTTCATGAAGATTGTTCTCAAAGTGGAATGAAGAACATCTGTTGCTAAGTAACGAGGTACAGAAGCATTGTATTACAATGTTATTCATCACATGATATTAAAGAGGTAGAGTTTAGTTTGTTGGACACTGAAGCTAAAATTTCTCTTTTAACACTTAATGAAATGTTTAGCTTAGATTCAGGCTCACAGACTCGACGCTATATTTTACTCAGTAAGATCATCTTTATCTGTAGTCTGTACCACTACTTAAGCCCAAACCCCTTTAACCACTTTCATCTCATTTACATGTCTATATGTATCCTACTAATAAAACTCCTACCCTTTTATCTTACTACTACCTCTATCACTCTTAATGGTCTATATTCAAATTAATGAAATTCTTTCACTATAATTCTCCATGTTGTCATAAATCCTCCTCTGTCCCAACAGGAAAAAAGAGTTTATCAAACAAAAATGCTGGTATTCTCTTCAACAGGCTGAAAAGATAGCTGATTAATGATTACCTTTTTTGGGGAAATGAAAAGGGTGAGGAGGGCAACTATAAAGAGAGTAAATTATAGAGAAAATCTCACTTTATACCCATTGAATCCAAATTATTTACCCTTTAACGTCCATGCCCAAACTATTTACTATTCCTACCCATGGGACCCAAATTAATTACCCGCTAATTTTCCAGCCGCAATCTGCAAACAAAAGTTGAGCTAGAATTCTGGTAATTATGCAACAGCATACTGTCAAAAACATCAATAATAGGCTTTTCTTGAAACATTTCTCGAACCCAACTTGGTAAATCAACCCCTGTGTTCAATTGCTTCCAACGGGGCCTTACCAGTCAGTAATTCCAATAGCAAGACACCGAAGCTGTAAACATCAGATCGGAGAAACATCGTAGGCATTTTCCACTTCTGGTGCTTGATAGCCAGGGATTAGGACAAACTTGGAGTTTGGCACGAAAAGTCTGAAAATTCCATTTTCTGAGAGACGAACATCGAAACAATTGGCGAGTAAAACATTGGAATAGAGATTCAAACTCCAAAAGAATATCCTTAGTTTTGTGTGGCAGTAATAATATTTGTGGGTATGGCATTTACAGAAGTCTCTGGTCATTTACGTCTTTGGTACCATGCTAATATCATCCTTTGAGAATCTTTCCATTATCCACCATTGTTGGGCTTGAAGCTCAATTTTATTTTTGAAGATTTCTTGTTTGATTCAAAGTGGGTGCTGTTAAATATTGCTTATAGTACCTTCTGGAAGTTCATACTGAATTTTGATAGCATTTGGAGCTGATTTGAGGTGATTGAGATCGAAATTTTCAATTGAAAATCGAACAAGAACACAGCTACAGTATACCGCTACGGTATACAATATGATGTAGGAGTATATAGCTATACTGCAACAGTACACTATTATAGTTTACAAAACAGTATACCGCTACAGTATACTAATATACTATAGGAGTATATAGTTATACAGCAACAGTATACTATTATAGTATACAATATATTATTATGGTATATTGTAATAATCTGCAATATACTATAGCAATATGTTGTAATAGTATACAATATACTATAATAATATACTTATTACCCGTAAATTCACTTGCCTTTTCCTTTTTAATTTGTTTTAAGCTTTTACCCAGCGTGAGAAGCAAATTGAAAATGCAAAAAAAAAATAAAAAAATTATAGTATGCTATATAACGTAACGGTATATTCTTACAATTAGATCCTTTTAGAATTTTTTAAATTTTTTATTGACAACTGATATTATTTTAGTTTAATAATTGAATTGAAATTTTTTTAACTCTTTGCGCACAATTGTATACCCTGTTGGTATAGTTATATACTATACTGGTATCATATGTTAGTTAATATTTATTTGGTTGTATTAGCTACATTTAATTGGTACACAATTTGATTTTTATTTAGTAACAATATAAAAAAAGGAGAATGAAATTAGATTATGAAGAGAAAAAGAATATAAAAAAAAGAAGTTAAATGAAATTAGAAAAGGAAAAAAGAAAAAAATAAGAAGAAAACGAGAAAAAAGAAAAGGAGAAAAGAAAAAAAAATAAAAAAGAAAACAAAAGAAGCATAGAAATAAAAAAGAATTGGAGAATAAAGAAAAAATTCTCCACAAAAACCTACTATGGGTTGAAAATATAATTAGTTTATGGGTAGGAAAACAAATGGGTAGATAAGGGTAAATAGTTTTGTTTTTGTGGATAACTGTGTCAAAACCAACGATAAAGAGAGTAAATTATAGTAATAACTCGGCGATGATTGATTTACTCTTATAATGTAACTCAAATCGAAAAACAGTTGGATGGATATACACCCATTTTAACAATTAAATGAGTGCATCTCTTGTCAAACTCGTCCAAGCTTGTAAAAAGGTCAAGATACACCTTTAAGTGAACGTATCTAACTGAATTTTTTCTGTTTAAGTAAAGGAAGAATGTGCAATCTCTCTTCCTTTACTTCCATGTTTCTAAGCAAATGATAAGCTCCTTTTGTGAGAAACAATTTGGCAGTTTATTTGCGAGCGGTCTATAAACGTTAGTAAAGTGAAATTCTTTGGGAAATAATATCATTCTCACGTTTTTAAGGGGACAGTCAACGGTGAAAGTAAAAAATCTTAAATCTATCGTTAAGTTATTACTACTCTAACTAGTATTAGACGCGCGCGGATGCGCGGACACTAATCATGTCAAATATTTAAGTTATTTAGATTGCATGTAAATAATCTTAAAATTTATATTTTCTCAGTAAATATAGATAATCATTGGATATTAACTACATGAAAAAAGTTAACTATTTCTTCTATTTTTCTTTTTTGATACCATTCTTGTCGGTGTCATTAGATCCTAAAAATAGTCAGGAAGCAAAATAATAACTCATATTTATGGCAAAACAATCAAATGTTGAGACAATGAATGACTCTTTGAATAAGACTTAATCTTTTAATACTACTTGAACTCTTATTTGGTGTGTTGATATCTCTTAAGAAATATTTCTTTCTTAAAATTTCAGTTTCTAAAACATTATTTTTCAATAATAATTATTTTATAATGTAATTGAAAATATTATTCTTAATTCAAAACTCATTTTAGTTGGCTATCTAAAAATATAAAAAATTCTTTAGCTAATGAATTTTTTTTACTCCATTTTGATATTTGACATTAACCATGTTAAATATCTGAGTTATTTGAATTATATGTAAATAACCTTAACATTTAAACCTTCTAAATAATTATAGATAATCGTCAGATATTAATTAAGAAACACTACATGAAAAAAGACTTAACATTTTCTCAATTCTCGTAGTGATAATTTTATTTTTGCACTATTCTCATAGGTGTCATTGGAACCTAAAAATAGCCACAAAGTGAAATAATAACTCATATTTATGGAAAAGCACAAAGGTTGACACGATATAAACGATTCTTTGATTACGACGTGACTCTTATACTACGACTTGAACTCTTATTTGGTATGAATTATCTTTCAAAAAATATTTCTATTTTGAAATTTCAATTTCTAAAACTTTATATATATATATATATATGTATATATAATAAAGATTATCTTTTTAATTATGCAAGTGAAGGTATTATCCTTAATTTAAAATTCACTTTAATCGGCTATCTAGAAATTTAAATAATTCTTTGGCCTGATTTATTTCAGTACGACTCCACTTTAAGTTTATCAATATCTCTAGCCCCAGAATTTGAATTTTTAATTCCCTATATATACAAAAAAATTTATTCATTGAATCATTAAATGTTAAATTAGTTGATTATTATTATTATAAAACATTGCATATGTTGTCTTAAAATTATCAAGTAGTTTATTTTTCGACACCATACTTGGCTTAACCTCAATGCAAACTACTCAATTTGCATTCCAATTCAAATTCGAATATCATATCAGTTTGTTAGTAATAGTGATTTTTTTAAACGACACATATGTAAATTAAAAAAAAAAATATTAAGATATCCTTATCTTATAATCTATGTATTTGAGTTGAAAAAAAAATATTTAAAATCGATGAGATTAACTTTCAAATTTTTTATACTCAACAAAGATGAAACATAAGGAGAAATTTGTTGTCATCTTTTGTTTCTGGTTTTTAGATCTTTCTAACATTTTTTTCAATATTTATTTTCTTTTATATTATTTTTTATATCATTATTTCTTTTGTTGAAAAAAATTAATTTATTCCACTATAAAAGGACGAGTTTTAATAAAAATTGTCTACATATGAACTTTAATTATACTTTTAGTCTTCGGTTGAAATTATTTCATATTTTTCTTCTGGCTTTATCTAATCAGCTTAAATAGGTGCTCACCCGACCACTTAAATTAAAAAATTAAATGATGTGTAATTTATATATAATATGTGTATAATCGTGTGTTGTCGGTATATCATCTATTTATATTAGCTATAAAAAGTAAACAATAAAAAAAGGCCGGATATTATGTAAATATTCCATAAGATTTTGGTTTTTTTAGTTTATCCATGATATAACTTCTATTATAATAATTTTAAAACTCTCTACTGATGTTCAAAAATATCTTATCTTTTTATTATCTTTGAATTAAAAAAAGTAAAGAGTTTTTTCGAAATAATTTGTTTACATTTAAAAAAAAAAATTCACGTCATACCAAGTTTTTCTTTATATATACTCTTTGTTACATTTAAAAGACACTATAGAAACTATCAATTAGAAACCAATTTCTCTCTTGTTGAGTTTGAAAAAAAAAATATTTCACATAATCTAATGATTCAAAACTAATATTCTTCAACGAAAAAAATATTATACCCTTGCAATATTGGCTTGACTAAAGCTAAATGAAGGGGTTTCAGCTTATACCCTTCAATTCCTTGAATGTGCTAAATTAAAATTAATGATAGCAATTGTATAGCCAAAGTTTTGTTATTTGTTTGATGTCCATTTATGCAAATTGATTTTTCAAACAAATATTCTTCAAGAAGAAAAAAGAAACAACTTTTTTTTTTTTAATGTTGACTAATTTGTGATGTTTCCTTCTCCAGCATGTATGTTTTCTTTATTGTATATGTAAGTAAACTTTTATTTGGTTTTGTAAACTCATTTTTGTTATTTATATAAACATAGACGTGTACCCTATATATTACATTTATTTTAAAAGAGTTTCGTTTTATTCAAATCAAGCTACAATGTTTCAAAGAACTATACTTATAGAATTTTAAATATGAAAGAGTTCTATAGTTATATGGAGCATTTTTTTTTTGCTAGAGGCGAAGTAGTATTTAAATAATTAGAAAACATAACAAAAGTTCCTAACATAATTGCATATCATCATTAACTGAATTAAGTATGATACTATGATAACATGATAAAAAAAGATAAATTTTATTTTTCATTTAAATTCGAATTTTAGAACTTTATCTATAAATTCAAAATTATCTTTTAATTCAAATTCCATATATATATATATATATATAATATTATATTATATTATATTATATTTGTATTTAACTAAAATAGTCAAATATAGAATAAAGTTACCATATAATATTGACATTTATTAACTTATCACTTGGCTTAACCATAATGTCAATTATATATGGTAACTTTCTTGCTTTAATATATATATATATTAAAGCAGGTCAACATTTAAACATGAACTTTTACACCGAGACACAGAAGACCCATAACCAGACCGCTTTTTAAAATGGCAAAATTCTGCCTCTATTCCTGAAATCTTCCACCAGTACTAAACTAGTGTTGTATTTTAAAACGACAATATAAATGGGGAAAAAAAACTCAATCCAAAATATATAATAAAATATTTCTAAAATCTTCATCTGCAATCATACGTGTAACATTTTCACTTGCCCTTCGATAATCACACAGTTTTTTCCCCCGAAAACGCTTTCACTGCCGCTATGCCGCCGTCCGGCAACGGAGCTGAAGCCGCTGCCGGCCGCCGCTGCACGTGCTCTTCCACCGAAGATGAAAACCAAAACCAAAATCAAAGCTGCCAGCATTGCCGGCGATCGACTCTGCCTTCCTCTTCGTCATCTTGCTCGTTGCTTAGCCTCGAATCCTATCCGGTTCAGGACTACGATAAGCTTTGGAGAATCTATAGTGCCTCTATTAAAGGCTTTACCATTGGCGCTGGCCTCAAAGGTGGCCTCGCTATCTTCGCTGTTCTCTCTCGGCTACGACGTAGAAAATCGTTGTCCTCTGCGAAGTAAAAGTTCTTTTCTTTTGAATCATCAAAGCTTTTTAGATCTCAATTTCACAGCTATGCTTAGCGCATTTGAGTTTGTTTTTCATGTTTTAGGAAAGCGCAAATGGTGTCGAGCAGTGACGATATAATTTTGGCACTAAAGGAAACTTTAAGATATGGTCTATTCCTTGGCACTTTCGCTGGTACTTTTGTATCCGTTGATGAAATTGTATCTGCTTGGGGCGGTCATCGAAGGTACCACACTATGTGTGTGTGTGTGTGTTACATTCAAAAGTTTTCAGTTTGTTTTATTTATGTACACACAAATACATATACTTGAATTTGTTAAAATCAGAAAATTTTGCATTTGTTATGAGAGTTGGGGAGATGATTAACGTAACAGTAAATGAAGCAGAAACTTAATTGAAATTCAGGACAGCTAAGTGGAGAGCATTGCTAGCTGGTGCAATCGCGGGGCCATCAATGCTTCTTACTGGTAACACACAGCATACAAGCTTGGCAATTTACATTCTTATGCGTGCAGCTGTGTTGGCATCGCGTTGTGGAATAAAAAGTAAGCGGTTTGGGCACATATGCAAGCCTTTAACTTGGGTTCATGGAGACATTTTCCTCATGTGTCTATCCTCTTCACAGATCCTGTAAGCATTGTTTTTTCTTCCTCTTGTAGGGACCTAATTTCATATAGATATAGGAGTAATGACTTTTTTCTGTGATTGCAAGTCATATACTTCTTAATCTTTATGAATATATATATATATATATATGTTATTATTCCTAGGCAATCTGGTTTCCTTTTTAACAATGTAAAGCTGCAAGTTTTATGCATTGTTAGCACTTCTTTTTTGATAAACCGTAATGTCATTTACAAGTAAACGTTTCTCTCAATTGAAACTAAGCATGCTAAAATCTAAGCTAAAGCATGTTGATTTGGCTTCGTATTGGAGTTGGCCAAGAAATTAGGTACTTTCCAAGTCTTAACATGAATGAAAAGGTCCCCGAGAAATGGTCATTGCCTTTGAACTTCTTGCCCCATTTTAGTGGAGAGTGAAAGGCTACCTTGAACAACTGGAGGACGAAGGTGAGGTATCGATTGGAATTCATGTTCACATCTTGAAATATATCATTTCTATTGTCTATATGATGCGGCCTTAGAGACTTGCATAACTAATTAGCTCTTTCAAAATTCTTTGGGGGGGGGGGGGGGTTTCTAATGGAAGTGAGCTAAATAAAGTCAAGTTGCACTGGGCACACTATTAGCAGCGGCTTACAAATTCTTAAGCTGTATTGTTCCACTATTTATACATGCATGCTCAGTCTTGCATGTATTGAAGTGGTTATCTCAGATGGTAGTCAGAGTGCTGATTGGACACTGACATTTCAGTAGTCTTAGAACCAGAAATATTTAAACTGATTCAATCCCACTTGATAATTTGGTAATATGTTTCAGGAAGAGTAGAACTGTCATATCTGAATCAGGTTAATCTCAGATTCATTATTTGTCTGTCACAAGTTACAACGAAAGAACTGTATTATGATTTTGCCTTATAAAGAATGTGGAAAAGTATACTTTAATTTCAGTAAGAATTTATGATTATATGACTTGTCTTGAGATCCAATTCTCTAATCCCTCCTACCAATGTAAGTAGAATTCTGTTAATATAAATCTTGATGGCATGTTTTAGTTTAACCAATGAAGTATAAAACTGCACCAATTGGCAGTGGTTCCACGAGATAGTTGACATGTTTACTCTTTCCTTTGAAGGAAGTAACACCGCATTTCCAAAGCCCTAGCTCCCTTAAACATATGCATGTATCATAAATGGAAAGTTTTATACAAGGCAAAGCCTCAGTCATGCACACACCACTGTCTTTGTATGTATGTTATCCCCAACCACAATAGGTCTAGGATACTGTACATTAACAATGAACCGAAGTAACTGTCTGAGCTGCCGTACTACATTAGCCCAAGTGGAATTCCTATGTTAATTTGACCACCCAATTTTTTTTCTGTTAATTTGACCACCCAAGGGCCAAGCTAACTTTGGCTTCTGGTGATGATGTGGGAGATCTGTGTGTACTTGTGTTAGCAACAACAAGAAGAGGTCAAACTTGTAATATTTGAAGGAAGGGGCACAATATGTACTTAAACAAGTCATTTTTTGACATATTACAGTGTACACAGCAAAGTCTAGTAATCTAGATATGTTGCCTGCATGAAAAAGATATAATTTTGTGCTTCCATAGGATCAATTCTGATTACAACTTCCTGCGAAAATTTACCTAAAACGTCTGTCTACAAGTAGTTGTCTAAACACTTGTTGTCATCAGTTTTAATAAAGATTTTGTTTCGCTGAAAAAATGTAGTAAGTTCCGCATTCAAAACCTGATTTACTACGAAGACCTGATTTGCTGATTCTGAGAAGCCTATGCCCTTCTGAGCTATGCTTTTCTCTCATACTCCATTTTTTTTATTTATGTCAGGTCCGCTTATATATTGAAGCAAGATAGTCTGCATCCATCTTACAAATCCTTTCTCAACAAACATGGTGGGAAAGCTCAGGTTATCCTGCAGGGTGTGCGAGACCTGGCATGTGGGAACTCTGTAGCCAATTTGGATGCGATAGAGACCCATTACAAGTCCAATGGTGTTGACATTAAGCTGGATCCACAAATGAAAGTACCCTGCTCGGTATGTCACAATTTCCTGTTCCTTGGCAGGAAAAATAGTTCAAATATGACTGCTGGTTTCTATTTTTTTTTTGGGTAAGTAATTAAAGAAATTATAAGTTTATGCACTAAGCCAGTACATCAGGCATAATTAGAGGTTGTGCAAACCCTCTATTGTCTCTTCAAATTTATGACTGCTGGTTTCTATTTAGTTGCGTTTGCTCCTGCTAAAGCAATTTTTAGCTACTTTACAAAATGCTGGGGGAAAAGGAGTTAAAATATTTACTCTGTAGAGCTAGAAGTTAGAGGCTTGGATTGAGGTTGTTTTTGTTCGTCTGTTTCTATGATTTTGTATTCTTAAAGCTTTTGAGGTTGTTTGGGTGTTTTTGAAGTTAGGTTTAAATTAACAAACTTTTAAGGTTACAACAAGGGCTCTTGGGACTTGACTGATATCTTCTTATTAAGGGGTCCGTAAATCGACGAGATTGGCTATTTCTAGTGGTCACTACTTTATAGATTATGTATTTTACCATATCTTAGTTCTTTTTTCTCTTTTGCTGAATGTTATTATCCTTTGGTTTTCATAATCAATACTTTTTAGAGCTAATAAAGACAAATGTGGTATCTGGAAATTTTTCTGTGTTTGTGGAAGATGTGTTGTTCGTCGTTTTTGAATACTGTACCATGTTAGGACAATATGATATATCGTCCATTTTTCTTTCATGCGGTATTTTGGGGCTATGTGAAATGCATTTAAGTTGAACTGCAGAAAAAGTTAGAGTTATGATTTATTTCCAGTAGTGAATACCCCCATTTTAGACTTGATAGAGAACTTCTATTATTATTATTATTATTATTATTATTATTATTATTATACACACACACACACACACACAACAACAACAACAACAACAACAACAACAACAACCCAGTATAATTCCACGTGCGGGGTCTGGGGAGGGTAGTGTGTACGCAGACCTTACCCCTGCCCCGGAGGGTAGAGAGGCTGTTCCCGTATATGTATATATATATATATATATATATATATATATTATTTATATTTTGGTAATGATGATGATATGAGTGAGCTAAATGAAAAGAATGAGGATTCATAATGCCGACCCCAACTTGTTTGGGACTGAGGTATAGTCGTTGTTGTTGTACTGAATACCCAGCTGAAGAGGAGAACCATCTGAGGTCTGATATGTGTCACTGATATGTATCAACTCTGCATATCAAGAGTTCTTGAAACTAAAAATACATGATAAATTTTGTTCACTAGTTTGCTTTATGGTTCCAACTATGGTGCATGCTTCACTGATTAGCGTCATATGAAAAAAATACCTTTAATGTTGTAGCCTCTTGTATACCTTATAAAGCGTAAGCCACTTATGATTTTTCATCCCAGGATGTGGCTGGATGCTGCATTGACCTAGCATACTTTCGCTCTACCTGTAATTGTTATGACAAAACCAAACATCCTGTTATTTTGGCCTCTATTGCAGATTCTTGATTGTGTGTCACGTGTTTGCCTAAAGTAGGTGCCACTACTCTTTCTTGAAATTTTTGGTTTGATGGTAATCAAGAGTTGCAAGAGTTTACTCTACATGCTAATTTGTTGATTCCAAGCACTGTTTTCCCTTTTGGATGTTCGTGCAGATAGTACATGAGAATCAAGGATGTGGTGCACATTTTATTTCTTTTCTAATTCAAGCTTACAAGAGGGCTTTGCCAGTTTACCTTCCAGTTTATTTAGTTCCTGCACTCATTGTACATCGTCAAGGGCTCTTGAAAAGGTACTGAATGTTGGTTTCTTAATGACAAAGTATTTTGTCTTCTTCGTTCTTCTCTTGGATCATGATTGCTAAAATCTGAAGCATTTTATGTATATTCTAGTGTAGTTGTTACTTTACTAAGCAATTATTTAATAGTACATTTCCATCATGATAGTCCATATTGCTTTTGGCCCATTTTTTTTCCAAGCTCTATAATTGTACAATCATCTTCCTTCAGCTCCAGTTATTACAACAATTTGTGTTACTTTTTGCAGACCTAACAAAATTTTGGCAAAGGGTCTTCTTGGTACAGCAAGGTCTAGTCTATTTCTCTCTGTGTATTGTTCATCTGCCTGGTAAGAACTGTTTTGACTTGTAATCGCATGTTATTGTATTTGTTATAAATATTTCCTCGGATCCCCCTCCAAGTTTTAGAACTCTAGCATCGAATGTTTATTTATCTCAAAGCTGCTTATTGTTTCATTGTTAGGTTATGGACGTGCCTCCTCTTCAGGCTGTTCAAGAGATGTAATATTCCCATGGTGGCACTGGGAACGGTATAGGACCAATCAATTAATTTTCTTAACCAGTTGTTTACTTCTCCCTCTATAAAGTTAACATAAATCTTTTGGCAGTTCCCTACTGGTCTGGCCCTGGCAATTGAGAAGAAGAGCAGAAGGATAGAGATTTCACTCTACTGCCTTGCTCGGGCACTTGAGAGTTTCGTCACGTGCATGGTCGATGTTGGGTATTTGCCTCGGTCTAAAAATTTAAAGAGAGCCGATGTGGTGATTTTTAGCATTGCAACTGCAATTATCATGCATTGTTATGCTATAGAGAGGGATGTCTTTCGATCCAAGTACTTGAATGTACTTGATTGGGTGTTAGGTGTGCCTCTTCCCCCCTATGAAACCACTCCTCGCAAGAACAGGAGAAGTGATTCCAGCTAGCTATTATGGCATGCCTCATCCCCATAAGGAACAGGCTCGTGTTGTGATGAATAATGGATTATTCTTTTTCCCCTTTCAATCTAAGAAGGTTGGCGTTAGTATACCATTCTTTTTCGTGAGAAACGTCTATACACAATAGATGTCACAAAACAAATTTACCTTTGTACACCATAGTGCCACAGCAAGACGAATGATGGTCCGTTTTAATTTAAACTTTGTTGTTGCTAGTAGATTGAAATTTGAAATTATCTTTCATCAGTATGATTATCAGATTGTCCTCTATCAGGGATTTGTAGGATTGCGTAATATTAAATGCTCTTGATATATTCATATTTCATCAAGGCCTTCTAAAATTGTTTACATGTAAGGCCATCTGGAATGTTTGCAGCAAATTACTGAGCTCAACCTTGACTTGTTGGCATTTCAAAATAGAGCCACCGTGATACAACAACAACGAACCTAGAATAATCCCACAACGGAAGAGGATGGTGTGCATGAAGGCAAATAGATTATTTTTCATAGACGCTCTGCCCAAAACTATGATAATAATTAAAAAACAAAGACAAAAGATAGGAAACTGAACGTTCAATAATTTCCGAACAAAGAAGTTCTGATAATCACTCCATAATATCAACAAGGATATCACATTACAATCAAAATGGTGAACTATAAGTCGTCCAAACCAGTACCTTAAACCCTAGTATCAAAAACCCTAGCCCCCATTTCCAAAGCAAAACACATCAATACCCAAAAAGAGAAATAAAAATCAAACCTCATCTTCATGAAGGAGCATATTGGGAATACCTTTAGTGACAGGAAATTTGCGGCCAGTCTCGGGACAAACCAAGGCACCCTCTTCAAGATGAAGCTCAAGAAGGGCATGGTGGAACTTATGAAGAAAATCATCAGACTCGAGCATAGCCGCATCAGCGTTTTCAGGCAGCTCGGCATAGCCCATGGTTCTAGAAGCTTCCGCCAATGCCTTCCATTCAACCTTATAAAACATGTTCTTGAGGAAGTCGATGTTGAAATCGACCTCCTTCTGTACCACTTTCTCAACCTCGATCTTCAGCGGGAATCCATTTGCGACTCCCTTGATGTTGGATGATAACATGTTGTGAGTTAATAGCCTCATCTGCAGATAAATTTCATAAATCAAAAGTAAATTTGAGGAAATTCCCAATTGAAAAATATTTAACCATTTACTTTTCAAATATATGAAGAGATTGCCGCAGCCAAGCCAGAAAATAGAAGCAAAAGTTGAATTAGTATTACTTGGAAGTAGGAACGAAATAGGCCGCACGCTGTTGGGTCGCCGCTGGAAATTGTGTTCGCAGTTGTCTCTCCTACTTCTGCTCTATCAGTTGTAATTTTACTACAGCATTTCGTGGCATGGCAAAAAGAGAAGTCTAGGGCTGGGCCAGGGTCGGGCCAATCTGCGTTTAAGGGAAATAGGAGTATATTTCTAAGAACAATATTTTTCACAAAAAAAAAAAAAAAAAGGCTGATTATTTTCTAGAGTTAGATTAGTAATGAGAATATATTTTTTAAAAATATTTATTAAAAATTAGTAATAGTATCACTAAAGTTGAAGTCGTTTGATGAAATCCTTTACCATTAAATATTGATGAAACTTCTTAATATTAATCTACACAAGTTACATGAACTAAGGAGTGGTTTGGTTGTGATACAAGTTGTCCAAGGATTAATTATCCCGGGATTAGTTATCTCAAGATTATTATCTCATTCTCCTATAGGAATAAAAATAACATTACAATTCCGGGATAACGGGATAACAAATTCTGAAATTAGTTATACCACAATTTTATTCCAACCAAACATGAGATAAACTTATCGCAAATTTAATCTCGAGATTAATTATCTCTTATCCCTCGTGCCAAATAAGAGTTCAAAGATTTGTCCCTTCGGAGACATCCAACAAAACGAAGTTCAAAATTTTCTATAGAGGAAAATGCGAGTCCTTTTTTCCCTTTTGATTTTGCAGTAATCGAAAGTAATTTTTACGTGAAAGTCGGTCATACAACATTGCCACCTTGGAGGTTTTCGGGTCAATTGGTTTTGTGGTACTTTATAAATGTGTTTTTAGTTTTGTGATCCTACATCTTTTTTTTTTTTTTATACATAAGAGATTCACTTTTATACGTGAATAGTTCGTCTTTTACTCGTAAGAGATCTAAAAGAAAGGTCATTTTCTTAATTTTAAAATTGTAACAGGGCGTGATGTACAAATAGTACGAGATTTTCATTTGTAACAGTCCATTTCCCCTAGCGTTTCTTTTTCCCATTAAAATATCACATAAATTTCAACTTTGGTGTAACAAAATTCCTTCAAATCTCTACTAGGCTAAAATTACTGAATTGACCAATTAGCTCATAGC